TGACTCCAAGATGAACATGGGCCGGCAGTGTGGGGATGCAGTCAGAAAGGCCAACTGCACCTTGTCACGCATCCACAGATGCATCTTAAGCAGGTTGAAGGAGGTAATACTCCCCCTCTATGCGACACTGGTCAGGCCGCAGTTGGAGTACTGCGTCCAGTTCTGGGCGCTGCACTTCAAGAGGGATGTGGACAACATGGAGAGGGTCCAGATGAGGGCTACTTGCATGATCAGGGTCAGCAGGGCAGGCCCTACGAGGAGAGGCTGCGGGACCTGAACCTGTTCAGCCTCCACAAGAGAAGGCTGAGGGGGGATCTAGTGGTCTGTTACAAACTAGTCAGAGGGGACCAGCAGGCATTGGGGGAGTCCCTGTTCCCCTGTGCACTTCCAGGAGTGACTAGGAATAACAGTCACAAGCTGGCAGAGGGTAGATTCAGACTAGACATCAGGAGGCAATACTTCACTGTCAGGGCAGCTAGGATCTGGAACCAACTTCCAAGCAAAGTGTTGCTGGCTCCTACCCTGGGGGTCTTTAAGAGGAGGCTAGATGTACACCTTGCTGGGGTCATCTGACCCCAGTACTTTTTCCTGCCATGGCAGGGGGTCAGACTTGATGATCTGCTCAGGTCCCTTCCGAACCTACTAACTATGAAACTATGAAAATTAAAATGCTGCAGGTCTGCTTCGTATTTAGAAAAAAAATGAACAGAGATGCTTTATAATTAGAAAAATGCATAGCTGGACCTCTCTTACACAAATCCCTGCTTGCCAGTTTACATAATCATTGCTCAATTATTTCTCAATATGTAAATTACAAATATGGAAATCCAAGCCATTAGCCACCATAACTAATTTATTCCTGTAATCAGAAATGAAATTGTTTGCTAACAAAGGCACTTCAGCATTTTACTTTCTTCAGCTGACGTAGAAAATCTCAAAAGTGCTAAGGTAAATTCCCCAAAAGGAATCAAGCTGATGAAAGTCAATTCTTATAGACTACATTAAAAAAAAATCCACTGTTTCATTTCCCTCCTTCCTTTCATTCCTTCCCTCCTGAAGGGTTTTTTACTAGACGAACCAACAAAGTAACATATGCAGAACTCTGCATATGCCAATCAACTTTTAAGACAAAATTACAATCTGGTCATTTAGGAGACAAGTGTTGCCGATTCCTATGGAAAAAAGATGATGAGGAGAACAAAGAATGAGGGAGGGAGGGAAAAGAATGAGGAAGTGGCACAAATTTGTTTAAACAAACTGTTTACCTATTGGCAGTCCGCCATCCTTTTTTGTTTTTGTTGCGTTTATTTCCTCATTTAAAATTAAGCTGAATGGGTCAGGATAGCAACTTGAGGGCACTTCCTGTTAACACAGTGACAACCATAACCTGGGTTAAAAAATGCCTTGGATTCAGTTTATTTACTTCAATACACAGTTTTGCTCATACAGGAGGCAAAATTATGTACTTGGGCAGACTAGACAGGTTAACTGGGTACACATGTTATCCCACAGCAAGGTGAGTTTCTGCATCAGTCCATATACCAGGTGATAATGAAATAAGTGACAGGTCCAATCAAATTCTCTTTGCATGAAACCAGAAAGCACTGGAACAAATAGAATTCCTTGTACATCCAAGGACAGAATTTGGTCCTTGACCATTATAGAAGTGGCGTAAGAAGCCTACCTAATCATTCAGAAAGGAATGCCCAATCTTTCTGTTTAAGTGGCTAGATACATTTTCAAAGTGTTCAATTTAAAAACAAGAACTCCTATTTCTGTACTTACCCGCTCTCGAAGCCTTGCATCATACTTTATTACAATATCTTTGCAAAACTTATTTTTTCCTGTAATTGCAGCTGCAGTCTGGAAAGCAAACACACAGTGGTATAAAACAAGAGCTAGTCGCCCTGCAATAAACAGAACATCGCAAAGAGCACATCTGTGACTCTCACTGCTGGTGCATATGTAACCCAAGCACACAAGACTGAATCCTTTTTGCAGTAGTGTGTGCCAGGGCTACACATGCTTTCCTCATGCTCAAATTAAATCAAGTTAACAGTGGCAAGCAATTACAGCTGATGATACATAGTTAGTGTTTTTGCAGCCACAATTACCTCACATTGGGTACATCTACATGAGCAATTAGAGCCATGCAATAAACTCTGGCACAGTTCACACCGGAGTCAGTTGCTTCCAGGCACAGTGTTTACATATGTGCTCAGGACCGCAGCACACTGAGCCAGGGCGAAACAGTCCTGGGCCGGCAGGGAGCCCAGTGGGGGGGGCGGTCATCCCTAGGCTCTAGGTGGCAGAGGGTCTGGCTGAGGCACAAGGGTGCTACAGTGCGGGCCTAGCTGGCAGGCAACCCTCATACTAGCACCTGTGTGTCCTGCCACAGTCTACACGTGTTTGAACACATACAAGTACTCTGGCATAAGATAATACTATCTTACAACAGAATTACTTAATCTACTGTGCCCTAATACCAGCACTTGTAGACTGTGATGCTTTACTGTGGAGCTAATTAGTCTAATCCACAGTAAAGCGCACATGTAGATGTACCCACTGAGTGAAAATGGAACCGGGACACTTTACACCTTAATGAAACAGAGGTGAGCTGCCTGGTTCAGCTTTCACCTACATGGCCTAACTGTGAGCATGTACCAGCTGTTCCACAACAAATTCAGGTCATCATTAACTCACTCTCCTTTGATTATTTCTTTACATTTTTATTAACAAGATATGGATAATGTTTCTTTCAAGTGATCTGCTGATTTCCTATGCATCATACAAGATATCTGTGGCAGAGACAGAAGTGAATCTAGTGCTTAAGGACACCATTTTTTCTTATGAACTGTTGCCTCACATAACATATGTTTTCAGCTTCTGCAATAAATGAAACAGAGGCTCCTAATGACAAAATGCTCCTTCCATTGCTCTGATGCAACCTCAGACCAAGTCATTCTAACCTTAAGAGAAAGAGGCAAGGGTCTTAAGGGGAAAAAAAAGATTTTATCATGGAATTCAAGATAGCATTTTGTATGTTTTGATCTTTTGGCTCTAAGATTGTTTAAATACAAGGGTTGTTTCGTGTTGGGGCTTCTTTTGGTGGAGGGGTGGAGGAGGGGGTTGCATGCAATTTTGTAGGATTTAAAAAGCAAACAAAAACCCAAATTCCACTGCATGTCATCATATTGTCATCCACATCCTTCTCCAACAGGGGTGGAACCTTTAGATCAACTACACAAATCTCTGCCTTTTGAGCTAACCAATTTACAAATGGCAGTAACAGGATGCCATTTTCTTTATGGAGCAACACTAAAGGAGTATGTTGTTGACAGAATTAGGATTGTGAGACTCAGAAATCTTAGGTTTTATTCCAGGCTCAGGATAAGAGGGCTCTAGTGGACCTGCATACCTCTGCCCATTCCCTATGACACTTATTCCCACATGCACCACCCTCTGCAATTTATCCCAATCCAGAACCTGTCTTCCTTTACCTGGCTCCTTTTCCAAATCCCATCCTCTTGTCCACCTACTCTCAGTCTCTTCCCCTTCCAAGCTTGCTAACTCCCACTTTCTCCTTCTGCCCTCAATATCACATAACAATTTCCTTGCCCAGCCCTCATCTGTTTCCCATCTCCAGCTTCCTAGTTCCTATTGTCAGCCTCCAGTTTCAGGAAGTCGCAGCGTCTCTCACCCAGTCAACTGTCCCCCAGTTTCACCCTGCCCAGTACCTTAATACTATTTCTTTCTGCCTCCACTGACTCAGTCCAACTGTTCCCATGGTATACATTTGTCCAGACAGGAAATTTCTCTCTCCAGTATTCAATATCCGGTATCCACCTACTCCTTTCTTCCTCCCTAGTCTCACTTACCCCTTCTGTATTCAAATCATATAGCTTCTTCAACACTGCCTGGGTGCCAGTAGTGAATGATTGAGAGTTTGTGAATACACAGGAAAGACAGGTCCCCTGATCTCAACTGCAGTGGCCTGAAATACCCTGGATGGCAGCAGGTAGGAGAAGCCAATACACGAAAAGCTTAATTTTGCCACTGAAGCCTTCGGTGGGAGACCACTCAGTTTTTTTCTGAGGAAAGTGAACTTGCATTCCTCATACCTTAGGAACAGCAAGGGGATGGAGCACACTTAAGAAGGATATTTTACAGAGATTCTGGCATATGCTAACTGCAGCTTTTCAAAGGTTTTTAAACTTGGCCAAATCGGGTTTATTTACAAAAAGAATGCCAACAGGCATTTCCCTCTAGTAAAAATTCCACACTCCCAAATTTCAAGTCCCTGCTCTAAAACGTGGAAGTGCCAGACCTTCTCGGAGTTTTTTGTTTTTGTTTTTTGTTTTGTTTTTGTTTTGTTTTTTTTTAAAGCAAAAACAAAACAAAATAAAAAACCTGAAAACCTTCACATTTCCCCAATTCCATTCTGAAATGGATGAACTTTTCAAAAAACAAAAAAGTCAGCTTGTGACAGTCATCTGGTAAGGAAAAAATCAGTTCAAATGGTTATGTTTGCCAATCAAAACCATTACAATAAACACCAGAGTATTTAGTATTTACACACATACGACAGCTGCACCCTTGATTACTACCTCAAAATTTTGAAAAACAGGTCATTTGTGTAATGATCACATCCAAATTTCCAAAGAAACATTTCCCTCCATCCCCTGCCTTTACAAGAGATATTTCTCTTAAAAGTTGTGATTTCTTGAAAAGATGGAGGGCACCCAGATGGGAAACCCAGAACACAAATTGTAGCAGTTTCACTTTGCATTAAGTCTTGTCTACAAAATTGTACAGATGAAGACATGGAGACAAATGTTTGAACACAAAATTACAGGTTGTGTTTAGTCGTGGTACTTCCTCAGTCTTTATTCAGGGTACATCTAATGGGGGCACCTGCTCTCTTGGAAACAAATTTTCAGGAAAACAAAAATCACAGCTATTATGCAAGTAAACGGTATTTTACAGAAAGAGTTGATATTAGCCCAAGTGTGATTTATAAAGAATATTCTGCAAGAGGGCTGAATATACAATTGTTAGAAGAGTACTTGGAATTTCAGTTAGAGACTGAAATATTTTTTAAAATGAAACTTGATCTTTCGTTCTAAAATCTGTAAGAAATATAAATATACACGTTATGATGCACGTGGAATGCAATGTGCCATTCCTTTACATATCTGACCCTCCCCTGCTACATACACACATGCTTGCTTTTTTTAAACGCTTTCCAAGGCAGAGGGAAGATAAGTAAAAGGTGACTTCACTAAGAGTGCCACACACAAAAGGCGTACAAATCATGCCCAACTATTTTAAACAAATTCTTATGCTGAATGATACTTTGGGTGTGCTCTTAAGACATGAGCACAAGTTTTCTTTGCCTCTATTCATACAAGTAATAATCCTGCCACCCAGACTGAACATAGCAATAGTCCAAGTGTTAACTGCTAGTCAATAAAACTAAGGATGGTATAACCTAGTCTTGACTAACTCTATCCTTGACCTGTAGACTAAAAGCATTACTATGTTCCTTGGCACTAAAACCAACAGGGCTAAACTGGGGTCCTCTGATCTCCAAACAAGTGGCATACATAATACTGCTCATGTGGTTACTCCCCTTGTCCAATTATGTTTCCAACTCTGGTCTTGTGCGTAGATATATATGCAAGTCCAGGAAGAATTTGTTTTACTTCTGTTAAAGTTTACTCTGAAACAATTAATTACAAAACTATGATCCTGTAAAAAATCTTAGCACTGGACCAAGAACTCATCCCTCTAGCACCATGGTCAGTTCTGTCAACCAAGGGCATTCTTTAAAAGTGTTTGCCAATTAGATATCTAGCTTATGACAAGTTTCATCTAGTTTATCTAAAATCCCTAGGAGAATATAACATGTAACCATATTAGACGAGGTAAAACGAAGCAATCTTATAGTCTATTTCCTGTATTCACTGCCAAAGAAGGAAGTTACTGGTAAATTGCTTTAATATTGTGCGAGTGCTTGTCCCCATGTTGCCCTCAAATTTGCATTTCAATTTCTTACAGATGGCCAAATATTTATTGCCTTGTTAAATAGCTAAGCATTAAAGTTAATATTGGTAGATTTATGCAGTCCTACCCCACACCCCCCTTTCTCTTTTTATACACTCTAATGCACATTAGCCCTTTTTTAGTCATTCAGGAATTCAGCGTATATCCTATAGGTTCTAAATGGCAATCAGCAGCAATCCCTCTCTGTTGGATCCTTTGCTAAATTATAACAGGGTGAACTTCATTGGGTCCTACACTCTTAACTTCATATTACCTAGGTAATGTTAACCACTGAATATCCTTTTAACCATATTTAGTGAAGTGGAAGAATCAGGATTCAGCAAAAGATGATAAACGCAGATTCTGATGTTTACAGGGTAGGTTTAAAGTTAAAACAAAAGTCAGATCTTAGAAGTGTTACAAAATCACCATTAGACATTGTGCCAGACTTCTCAGCTACCAGGATGAGTTAATGTCAAGATACCACCAGCACCAACCCACAGGTATATACAATTACAAAAAAAGTGGCAGGCAGTTGATAGGACAACACTGTACAATGTGTATTAAAGATACAACTCACAGTCAACAAGTGTTAACTCAGAGCTATTCAAGTTTTGTGCTCTTCTGAGAAGAGCCCAAGGTCTATATCTACCCCACCACTTAATTCTAAGCTTACTGTCTCCTTCACAATTGTTGTATTATTTCATGCTGCCTCTACCTGTAGGAGTAATTTAGTTGGGTTTCTGACCTATTTGACTAGAAAAACAGACAGAGACCAGAAGGTTGATACTGCTTATTTCAGTTATATGTTCTGAGAT